GAGTGGTGCTGAGACCCGGGACGACCTGGCGCTCCCCGCCGAGGGAAAGGAATGAAATATGGAGGGTTCAAGCTCCCTGGACAAAACAGTGCTTAAAAAGTCCAATAAAAATCACTGTGAGAAGAATTATGGTCAGACGCTGGGCCCATCAGATTGCTCAGCTTGGCTCAGCCTCCCCTGGGCTTTCACGGGGAGGCGGCGGGAATGGCTCCTGGAGAGATGGATTGGTCCCTGGTCGCTGCTCCGGGCAGGAGCGGGGAGATCCATCCCTCCAGCGACGTGGGGATCCAAGCGACGCTGCCGAGTCATTGCTCACAGCTCGCAGGCTGTCAGGACACCCAGCTCACTCCCGGCCCATGGATAACCCTCTCCCAGCCTCCAGCAAGGGGTCCCTGTGCTGAAGGGAGGTCTCCAGCCCTGCTGAGATGGGAACATCTCAGTTGCAGGCTTTGTACAGAGTAGGGTAAATCCGTAACTAACTCTTCTCTCCAGGACAAGGATGCAGAGTTACAGGAATCACTCCTTCCCTGATGGGGCTGTTTGCTGCCAGGATCAGTGGGAGCTCGGGACTGAAAGCTGCATCCCTGTCAGTAGCACCAGCTAGAAATGGTCACTTTGGAGCAAGGCTGGAAGGAGTTTCAGACACCTACCCAAAGCCTTGGTCAAAGGTGAGGGGCGTGTCCTGACCAACGTGGCTCTGATCGCCACAGCCGTCCCTATAGGCACTCCCCTAGGCAGATGCACGGGTGCTAGGGAGCACCAGGCTGCTCTTCACCAAAGTGTCCATGTTTGGTGCCTAAAATAAACCGTGCACGCCATTATTCTGTGCAAGGGTTCTATCGCTGCAGGCTCTATGCTTTCAGCTCCGAGCAGGCGCTGACGAGGGCTGTGGCTAATCGAGGCGGCACATGAAATTTGGGATGGCCAAATGCAGCTGCCCCAGTTGGCATTTGCCCAGGACAGAGCGTGGAGTTCATGGAAAGAAGCTGTTTCCCTGGCTGGGTTGGTCTTTATGTGGGGCACACAGGTGGGAGATGTGTCACTCCCAAACCAGTCCTCACTGGTGTGGGAAAGCAAGGCTGGGGCTTCAGCAGCTCTTTGCTTTCAAGCCGGGATGTTAGCTGATGGATGTGGATAAATGCTGCTTCCTCCAAGCCCCTGCCTGTATTCAACCCCTCTCTGGTCACGCTTTGGAAAGATGCAAGAGGACATGGGGACTGGCAGGGAAAAGACTAGAGAATGTCCTCCAAAAGGCCACTTTGGACTCATGAATAGGAATGTGCCCAGATAATTGAGCTCCTCACAGCAGCAAAAAGATAATGAGAGATCCCTGTGGCCAGTTCAAACTCAGGGACACTGCTCAAGTGTCACCTCTTGCCACTGGCTCCAAGGCTGGTGGGTGGCTTAACAGGGCAAACTTCATGTAAAGCTGTCCTGAGGGATGCTTCCCACCACGGTGATGGGCAAAGCAATTGTTTACTCACTCAGAAATGCACCCCGTGCCCTGCAACCTGATCTTGAGCAGGGGAGGGGATGGCATGAACCAAGTCCTGCCTTGGGAAAGCACTGGGGCAGCTGCACTGGGTGGGACGTGCCCTGACCCCTGGAAGGAAGGAGCCCAAGGAAAGGAGACTCCACCAAGGATGAGATTCTGGCTGGGAGGTCCCCGACGTGAGTACCGGGTCTGCTTCTGCTCGCTAGGTCAGTGATGGTGTGAGGAGATCCCAGCATGGAGACACTGTAGCTCCACACAGGGCTTCATCTCTGAAGCCAAGCACCTTGCAGAATGGGCTTTGAGAAGCCATCTCTGCATCTCCTTGGCTGCCAACCATCCACATTCATTGGCAGAACCTGTGATAATCCTGGTGACAGTGAGGTGCAAGAGGGCTGCTCTGCCATGGCTACGGCAAGCTGGGAACAGAGCAGGTTTGGGAGGCTGTGGGGGAATGAGCAGATGGGTCCCGGTGCAGAGCACAAAATCTCAGTGTTCCCAGGCTATGAGACAGAACATTTAGTCTGCAAGCCCCTGCGAAATAGCAGGAGCCCATGAGAAATCTGGTATTTCATCTGTTGAGTTTTTTGTATTTAAGCATTGCTTGGGTTTATTATTACCCGATGGAGGGTGAAAGCACGGCCCCGCAGGGTTGCAAGGGCCAAGCAGTGCTCAATTCCCCCCTCAACACGCTCAGTTTGGAAATCGTGATGCCAAGGGCCAAAGGCCCTGTCCCCAAAGATGGGTCAGTAAATCAGGCAGATGAAGATGCTCAATTGAACGTGATGACACCGTGGAGCAGAGCTTGCCCTAGCAGGATCCAAGTAAGCCCTTCAGATCCTATTCTGCTGCCACCCACCTTCTGCCACAGAGGGGACCAGCTGGGATTGAGCCTCTCCTTTGGTGCACACTCAGCAGGGCAGCGGGCACCTTTTTCTGGAGGTCTCACCAATCCCTAAACCGCCAGCTGATCTACTCTATCTGCCTATAAATTTTCCATATTTCAGCAGCACAGTCCCTGTGGATAGGAAAAACCTGCCCTCAAACATCTGAGAGTCTCGGCTAGACTGTGGGCTTCTTTTATAGCAAGGGGGGAAACAGGGAGTTGCAGACACAAATTTACCTCCTACAGAATGAGATGGGGAGAGGAAAGCCCTCTCTACTCTACTTACAACATCGCACCGACCTGCGGTGTTGGGGTAAAAGAAAGAGTTGCAGAGGCTGCAGGAGCATGTGAGAAGACCAGGGGTGTGCCTGCCAGTCCCAGGGACTTGGCCAAGGTGGGCACATCCCCATGCTGAGTCCCCTTGCAGCCAGGACAAGATGGGAGGTTTAACGGGAGCTTTGGGGAGCAGCTGAAAGAAGATGGTGAGATGCACTACTGCATCTAATTAACTTCTCTGAGGAGTTGAGGAAGAAGATTTCTCCTGATGGAAGCGAGTAACAGAGGCTGGTATTGTCAGGGAACGGTGTTGTAAGGAAGAGAAGACCTGGCCCTGCTTGGCTTCAGGGTAGGTGGGATGGTCTCTGTTCCTAACAGCCCAAAACTTCATTGTGATGGACTCACCAAACCACTCATCTCGTGCTGGCACCTGATTTGTAAGGTGAAGCAGCAAAAGGGCTGATCACCAGCAGCTGTGCTGGAAGCATGCTGGCTGGGGCAGGTTTTTTATGTGTCCTTATGCTCCTCAGCTCCCCAGGTCTGTGGAGACACTTTAAGAAGAACACACAAGGCAATAGGCACGAACGTGAGGCTGCAAGGTGTTTCTGGCTCATACCAGCCAAAGAAATGACACTGAAACACAGAGCTGTCGCTACTGTGTTTACAGGTGGCAGAACTTGTCGTTTAAATCAGTCCTACCCAAACCCCTGGGCTTCACCTTCCTCTGACACTGGGGACTGAAGACCTTGTCCCTTTGCTCCCCGAGTTTCCCATCCCGGGAAGAGCTCCTGAGCATACAGCAACACTCAGAGCCTGCGCGATAAGCCCTGCCACGGGGCGAGCCTTGGCTCAGAGTTCAGTCTGAGGTGATGCCCATCACTTTTAGTACAAAATCTTTGATTTATGAACCCTCCTACCCCGGTGAGACAAAAGTAAACAGCCTTTACACCCTGTCTCCTTCACAGCCGCGGTGCTGTTCAAATACCCTGGGAATCTGCAGAGAGCGGGACGGAAGAAGTCACCGTTTCCCAGGACACTCCAGCTCCTGCTGACATCCTCTGCTCAGACCCATCTGACCCCGAGGGAGCTGGGGACAGAAAGTCCCTCGGTGGTGTGGTGGGGGCAGGTGTCGGCCCCTCTGAGGGTGTAAATCATGAGGGGAGGATGATGGGGTGTCGGTGCAGTTGTGATGGTGGAAATGGGGTGTACGAAGAGAAGCGCTGAGCCCCGGGTCAGCATTGCATGAGTCGTATTTGGTGCAAAGACAAAGGGAAGGGAAATGGGAGGATACATACACCGTGATGTGCCAAAGCTTTCAGAGAATCACAGAATCATTAAGGTGGGAAAAGACCTCTAAGATCACCGTCAACCCAACACCACCATGCCTGCTAAACCGTGTCCCCAGGTGCCACTTCTACACGGTTTTTGAACCCCTCCAGGGATGGGGAACCCACCATTGCCCTGGGCAGCCTGTTCCAATGCCTGACCACTCTTTCAGTAAAAAAATTTTTCCTAATCTCCAATCTAAACCTGCCCTGACGCAAGCTGAGGCCAGGACGACCCTCTGTACCACAGCTTGTATTAATATGGTCATCCAAGTCCATCAGGGCTGTGCTGCTGTCCCCACACAGCAGCCCCTACTGCAGGACCCGCAACCACAGGACCTCCCTCTCCAAGCGAAGATGCTTCCCCTGGCTCTTACAGTCACCAGCCTTGAGACACGTCCGAGCACATCTGTCCCCAGCAAAGCCACTAACCACAGCCGTGTCCCACCCTGAGGACCTGAAGAGCCGGACAGTAGACACATTGCCGTAACATACACAGGTCCCTTCAGCACCTAAGATTGCTTAGCATGAAAAATACATGGATATACCCAAATGCTCATATGCAGCAGTAAGCAACACTTAGGGTTTTTGTTCCCTTTTAGAGGTTTTCAGTTCTCCAGTCCTTCTCCACCAGTAAAACTTGGTGGAACTGTTCTCTTAGCCTCTTCAGAAGGCAACCACTAAAGTTCAATAATCAACCAGTGGTAGACTTCAGTCCCTACCTCTTTTCCATCAAGTGTTGGTTCCCCATTGGGTAACCCCCTTATGCTTATACATTTAGCACTGCTGGGAAAATCTTTCTGTATCTTGTCTGCACTCCCATGTTCTCCTAGAAACACCCATCTCTTGGGATGCTGCACACTTGTTTCAAACACTCGGACATTTTGGGCTTAAAAGGAAACCACTTGTCCCAGTACAAACAACAGAATTTATGTATTAATTTAACGTAATTTCATGTCAGGCAGACGATTGGTTGAAAGACATTTACTGTCAAGATGCTTTCAAAGAAGAGCCAACGTACCTGCAGGCTCCTCGGTGCTGCTGGCGGCGGTGGTGGGGGGAGCGGCGGGGATCTCTGTGCAGGACAGCGAGAAGCAGGAAGGAAAGGAGAGGAGATAAAAGCAGGCATTATTCCAGATCCCAAAGAGCCTGGCCCCTGCATGCACCGTGTTTGCCCTTCCCAACCATGTCTACCAGCAAGGAGTCTTTCCCAACTACGTTCCTTGCGAGAGCTCCGGGAACCAGCACACCAGGACCTTACCCACTGGGGAACTGGGCCTCCCATAAGGGTGTGGGAAAGGGTTTTTAAACCAGAAATTTTGGGTTGTGGCTAAAAATTATAAGCCCCAGCAGCCACAGGGAGCATGGCTGCCTCTCCCTATCCCTGGGTTGTCCCTTCCAGCTGCTTTTTCCACCCATGTCTGAGGCAGTGCTACCACTCCTCTCGTGTGACATAGGCTGCAGGTGAAGTATTGCATCTATCTGCTGGGGTGCAAGCCTCATCTCACATGTTTAAAGGAAACACAAACGTATCTGGTGCCAGTGCAATGGTCCCTGCTTTCGCTTTGGGGCTAGCTTTGCACAGCTGAAACCACATAATGTTCTGGATCTTCATGCCCAAGTCTGACTGTGTTTGTTGATGTTGAAAAGGACGGACTGCAGATGGAGCGCGTTGTATGGTCCCAGCTTTGGCAAGATGACCTCTTTTCCCCAGTGCACATACACAACTCTCATTACTGACATCTTTTGAACATTTAGGGCACAGTGCTGCAATTTGTGTGCCTCCCTGGGAATCCTGGCAGGGAACACCCTACCAGATCATTTTGAAAGTGGAATTTAGGCATGAGCTGGGGGTTGGCATCTGCCTCCTTCTGCTTTTGCTCTCGGGAACCTGCCCGGCTGCAGAGGCAGGATTTGCTGGGTTGTGTCTGCACTGCAGTGACGACAGCTCATAAGGGTGCAGCCCAATTATCATTAGATGACCTTTTGTGTCATTCACCCTCATGCAATAAAACACAAGCCCAAGCCCATGTGAGACGCGTGGCGCGTAGTGAAGCAGCAGATGAACAGCCAGCCCAGCTGTCCTGAAGCTGGTGCCTGGCTGGGTGCTTGTGCCTGCCGGCGTGGGCTGCAGTGCAGACAGACCCCACTGGTGTCTTTGTTGCCCACGAGGTGATTTTTTCATTACTGTAAGTCTTTGGGACAAGGGAAATATAAGCAGTGGTAAATCAGAGAGTGACTGAGCTCTTGCAGACAGGGTGGGCAGCCCCTTGCCAGCTGCAGTGTGTCTGTGCCCTCCCAGTGCCAGGCGGGAGAGCAGTGTGGGAAGGGATGGAGATCAAGTGCCCCCCACTGCGCATGTATAAAATAAGTGTGAACTACGTCCCCCCCACACAAGCAAAATATGCTGACTAACATTTTCAGGGATGAAAATGTGCTGGTTTGGGTTTTTCTAGGATGAGAGAACCATGAGTTGCTCACATTCTCGCTTGAATTGCTTTAGCATCGTATGTGCAGATCAAACTCCCAACAACTGCACAGCAGCTTGATGGCCAGGCCACAGCCTTGCTTCAAACACATTTTGGACAAAATTTTTGGCCCCTTGGAAAGGATGTTTTGTGGTGACACGTAAGTAAGGGGCTCTCATGGGTGCCGGAGCAGTGGCTGGGTGGCAGGGCCAGGGCAGGGCAGCCCTGCCAGGCTCACGGCAGCGGGCAGCCTGGAGCACGCCGGGTCGGCAGCTGGCGTGAGCACAGCCCGGCTCCAAACGCCTGCTTGGACCGTGTTGAAATTCTGTGTCTGCCTTTATTTAGCGCAGTGAATCCCAAGGGAGATGATGCAAGGAACAATTTACCCTCTGATTTACCATGGCCCTGGGGAATGATTAATGATAAACCTTTGCGCATACTTGCTGCAAAGCATACCGGAGCCATGACTGTAGCATCCTGGGGAAACAAGCATCTGGTTTGAGCTCTTGCCGTCCCATTGCGACACGGGGAAGAATGAATCTCAAGTGACCAAAAACCACCCTGGAATGTATTT